GCATCAGCCTCCCAGTGCTGTGATGACAGGCCAGGGTCACCACACCTGGCCATTTTTTCTCTTTGGTCTGAGATCCCTTCTTTGGTAACAGTGAGATTTTGTGTTGTTGTGATGTTATAAATAGGGAAACAGCTGATGAGGTGGGTTGAGCAGGTGTCAGCCCAGATTCAAGGTTGCTGTTGTCCATGAGAGACCTTATTTTGCCTTAATTTGATGGAGTCCTGGGGTAGATACTGCTTACATGTTTTTTTTTTAATTTTCAACTTGGCAGTTTTGTTGGGATTTTTTTTTTTTAATCAGAGACCATGGTTATGTAATTTTCACCCTGAACAGAAGCACAGTAACAAGCTGAGGGATCTTTTGTGGGATTATGATAGTTTATAGCTGTTACATACCTTTGAGAACAGGTTTGCCTATCCTGTGCCAACGGGATAGCATGATAACTATAATTAGTTTGGTTGAAGTTGGCGATCCCTCTTCTTTGTATGCTGTTTTAAGGCAGAAGACTTTCCTAAGAATTTCAATGTAAAAAGAATAAAACTGATGTTCATCCTGTTCACCAACCACCTTGAGTAACCGGCCATTTTTCATTGAATCCTGTTGTGCACATTTATGCAATATATGTATGTATTTAATATTGTCGTCAACCAAGACTAGTCTTTATAAAGCTTGCTGTTATCAACTCTTTCTGAAAATGTAAACAGGCTTTTTCTTGGCATGGACTTGTCTCTTTAGGACCCTGAAGGGAATAACATTCCTAGGGACCCGACATTTTGTTTTATTTATATTACTGTGTGGTGATTTTTCTTGAGATAGCAGTCATTTGCCTTTAATTTGACTTGGCTTTCTTCCAAAAATACTCTTTAACCAAAAATGTTTTCTCTATACAGATTTTGAAATAAATGTTCGGGATGTGCACCCCAAGTTTTACAATTGCCCTGTATGCCACTTAGCCCCTGTTTGTAAACAGGGTTAGATTCAGTTTAGTATTTTATGAATCCAGTGTCATTGCATTCGGTCCTGTTTTGTTCTCCCATCTCCTGTAAGTACTTTGGAAAGTGTTTTTGTGAGTTTCCATTTACATTTACAGAGAGATAATTAAGACCTGTTTGAGTGCTTTTATTTTATATGATAAATATAATTATTTGTTTAAAAATGTCTCCTGTTGTTCCTGCTTAGTAAATTGCCCTGAAAGCAGATGCTTGGCGATACTTTTGATTTGTAAATGCATTTCTTAATCAGTTGACTGAGTTCTTGACACTTTAGAGCACTGAATGCTCTTAGTCATCTGTCCTTGGTGGCAATTGAACCAGGGGATATTTTTTACAGAAGAATTGTGTTTGGTATCATTTTATTCAATAAAATGTGGTTCTTGCCCCTTTCATGAGTAAATGTTAAAAATATTTTTGTTATCTTCAAAGTGCAAGTAGGGGGAAAAATTTTAAATTGACTTTGTATCTATTGCTTTAATCAGTGCTACTGGTGTTAAATTAATAGGTATCTTAAATTTTCATTTCATTTTACATTACATTGTTTATTATCACTACATGTATTTTGAAGTTGTAGTCTCCTGATATAAATGTACGAAAAGTGAAGAATTTTTTTGTTGTCATCTATGTAAATATTTGTTCATTGACTGCAGATTTTGTAACTTTATGACAGTGAAAGTGTGGAAGTGCTGGGTACTGATCATCCGTGAATATGTTTAGAATTTCATTTCCCAAAACAATTTCATGCTGAATCGCAGGTGATTTAAGAAAATTCTGTCCCGGGTGCTTTGCATAAGTTTCCTTAGGAAATCCTGGTGAAATTGTAATTCAAAAAAGAGAAAATTCACAGAAGGAGGATGTTAGGAATAAGGAAAGAAGCAGCTCCACAGCCAAGCACAGGTCGTTATTAGAGGCCTGGGCGTCCCAGATCTGGTTAAATTGACCTGAAAGGCAGCTCTCTTGGTGTCTGTGGGGCCTTAGGAGCAGGGGAGAGAAGGTGTAACCGAGGGAGTTGCTGTCATGGTGAGGCTGTCAAAGCAAGGGGTGAAGGGAGTTGTGCTTCTTAAGGGGTGGGAGCAGAGTTCCCTCAAGGACAGTGGTCATTAGGCTGTCACAGCTGCTGGCTGCAGATTACCTGAGAGGGGTGAAAGCTGTGCTCTGTGGGCCTAATCAGCCTGGGCTGCTTGTTCTGGGAAAGGAAACCTAAAGACCATAGGACTTGATAGTGGAAGGGGCTGAGTGACTGCACGGGTGGTGCTCTGGTTCCTTCAGAGGGGTTTTAGATCTTTGGGAGTGAGTGACACTTGCAAGTCAGGCCTCAGATTTGAATTTTCATTCATTTTCTTTTTTTGTTTTGAGGAATCAAGATCAGTTTTGTACACATAGTGTAGCTATGCTCTACCACTGATGTACAACTCCTACCTACCGTTTGATTTTTGAATGACATTTGTGTTTTAATATATTGTTTTTCCGTAAATTGGGGTTTGGTCCCAGTCTGCAGGTGATTTTTCCCAGAAAGTAATACTCATGCAATTTCTGTGTGGACACAAGATGAAAAGGCGTGGTCTCGGGCAAGGCAGGTGAGGACAAGAACTGGGTGGAACAGGCTACTTCTCCCCCATTCTGGCCTGTACCGTCCTCTCCCCTTTGGCTGCCTGGCTGGTTGTGTCATATATAGTCTGCATGCAAGCCTAGGGGAGTAAGAGAGGGGCAAGGCCTACTTCTTTATATTCATATGTATGGATGTGGGTGTTATGGAACGTGGATCAAACCCTTCCTACACTGGTAAACATGAAAGATCTTTAAAAATCATCCAACAGAATAATTTTTAGAAATGAGAAGATTGATGGTTCCTATATCAATTTCACTTTATTTATGTATTTTCTTATAGGCAAGAAAGCAAACTTAAGAAACTGGTATGCTAATTAGTTCCTCTAGTCTTGTGTTTTTAAGTAGATTCCTGAATCTTGAATAATATCTATGTAATGAAGTGAGGAGTCACTTTTATTACATATTCATAGCTCATAGTTGCATCTTGTGTAAGTGCATATCCACCATATCTATGGTGTTAGTTACTTGTCTCTCCTTGCTGAGGTGAAATAGCCAACACCTGAGCCGGGGATTTAGCTCAGTGGTTCTGCCACCTGCTTGTCAAGCACAAGGACCGAGTTCGATCCCCGGTACCAAAAAAAAAAAAAAAAAAAAAAAAA